CCTTGCTATGTGACTCGCTTCCCCATTTGATCCCAATTTAATCAATTTTACCTGAACAATTATACTTGTAACCTTATTGGCTGACCATAGTTTTGTCCCACCTCATGCCCACCTTGTAACTTCCCATTTTCCCCTACCCTGAACCCACCTCACCTCTTGGTTTCCCTCTATAAAATCCCTGGGAAAGACAAGGTCCTTGGCAACCCGCTCGGGTCCCTTCTGTCCCTCTCTTAGAGAGAAGCTTTCTTTCCCTCAATAAATATATTCTGCTCTTAAACTCCGCTGTTCCTAAAATTCATTCTTCAGTTTTATTTACTTATTTATTTTTGTCTTTTTCAGTCAGGATCTCACTATGCAGTTCAGGCTGGCCTTGAGCTCACTTCATAGCCCAGGCTGGCCTAGAACTCGAAAGATCCTCCTGCCTCAGCCTCCTGAGTGCTGGGATTACAGGCGTGTGCCACCACGCCTGGCAGAAACACCTCTTTAATTCAGCATGGACTCACTTTTATTTACTCAAGGCTTATATTCAATCAAAATTATCACTGTTTTTATTATTGGTACTTTAACTTTTCCAGAGTGGGCCAGTGTAAGCCCCTTCCAACAGGATCCAAAGTCTTTCACATGCCCTTTGGCCTTTCACAATTTTGTCACATGCTGGCAGACAATATTCTTTTAAATGAAAAGTTAAAAAGTTAGGGGCTGGGGATTTAGCTCAGTGGCACAGCACCTGCCTGGCAAGCACAAGGTCGTGAGTTCGATTCCCGGTACCAGAATAAAAAACAACAAAAAAGTTAGCCTTGGGCTGGGGATATAGCCCAGTGGCATAAGTGCCTGCCTGGCAAGCGCAAGGTCGTGACTTCAATCCCCAGTACCACAAAAAAAAAAAAAAAGTTAACCTAAAAAAGCCTACCGTTCAAGTTCTTATAGTCTGCAGAACATTAAAAATGGTCAAAAAATTCATATCTAATAAGACCACTACTGTTTTGGTTTTTGTTTTTTTGTCTGTTTTGTTTTGTTTTGTTTTGTTTTTTGAGACAGGCTCTTGCTAGGTAGTTCAGGCTGGCCTTGAGCTCACTTTGTAGCCCGAGCTGGTCTTGAACTCGAAACCATCCTCCTGCCTCAGCCTCCTAAGTGCTGGGATTACAAGCGTGCACCACCACACCTGGCAATAGCAATGTTTTATAGCACATGCTAAGCAAGTACTCAGCAGCGAACCCCACACACACCCAGCCCCAACATTACTTAATTTGTAAATAAGTGCAGTGAGTTTTGTGCATTCCAAGTCTCCTCAGAACAGAGTGATGACAACCTAAGTGACAGGAACAAAAATGAGCTCCTGCTCTGCAACATTTTATGCCCCTGGGCTAATCAGCTATGCCCATTTCAATCACTTCTTTCTACATAATCTAGTGATCCATTAACTTTCTAGGAAGAATCAAAGCAGTCTAGAAAAACTCCACCCACCAACCATTAAACTAAAGAATGACCCCACCTACTATGTTGCTGTCAGGCAAGTGTCAAGACTGAAAGGTAACCCTGCCCTCCACAAAAGTGATTTACAGCAGTGAGTCTCAAATTCTAATATGCACAAGAATCATCGGAGGGATTACAAAATGCGAACAAAATATAAATTCTGATCCAGCAGCTCTAGACTGGAGCCCAAGAATCTACAATTCTAAAACAGGACCAATGTTTGTGGATGACAATTGGAGCAGCAAAGGTTTACAGGGACTCAAAAGCTCAGAGGAAATTTTTGTTCTGAGTTGGAGATAGGTTCCAGGGCTAGTACTAATGTGTACATGCATAAGCAGATTTTGGGGGGTTTTTTTGTTGTTGTTGTTTTGTCCTTTTTGAGACAGGGTCTCGGTATGCAGTTCAGGTTGGCCTTGAGCTCACTTTGTAACCCAGGCTGGCCTCGAACTTGCAACAATCTTCCTGCCTCAGCCTCCCGAGTGCTGGGATTACGGGCGTGCACCACCACGCCTGGCTTCTTGCTATTTTTTTTTAAAAACACTGTAGCTTTCATACTTGCCAAAAGTTTTTATCCAATAGTTATTGGAGTATGTAGAAAATTAACCACCACTTCCACCTATATTTGAAGATTACCAGTTCCCAGCTGTAGCTGCAGTGAAAACATAACTTCCATGCATCTCCCCAAAGGCCAACATCATTTCAGGATACTACTAGCAATGACTCTCAAAACAAAAACACAGTAAAAAAAGAATAAACTGATTCGCCCCCAAATATCAAGAAAACAGTAAAGAAATCAGCTGCCAGTAGCTTCTCCCCTCCTCCTCAACCCCTACAAAAGCATCACTGTCTAGCGACACACACCGTGAGAACTGGACTCACCTTCACAGCATTGGCCTTCACCTGGGCCACCTGGGCCATTTTCTGCAGGTGCTGCAGCAGCACATCCTCTGTGAGGTCATTCTCAGGCAGAAAATACTGGTACACATCATACTGCAACCTCCACCTAAACTCCTGGCCCGTCCCAGCGTCACACGGCAGAGGAGGTGCGTCTCTAGAGCCAACCAAGGAAATAGAACATCAGTCTTGTGTGGTGCAAGTTCCATCTATAAAAAGGAACCAAAAAGCCCTAAATAAACCTTTTTTTTTTTTCATTGCTGGGGATAGAACTGAGGGCCTTGAGCATGCTAGGCAAGTGCTCCAGCGCTGTGCTACAGACCCAGCACTAATTTCAAACTTCTGCAGCAGCAATCCCTATTAAATAGGTTCCCTTCTGCAGAGGCATAAATGGCATTCTGGAGAAAAATATAACACTCCATCCGAACAAATGATGTTCTCTCCTACAATTCCTGCTTTGTGTAAGTGCCCAGGGTGTTGGCATTAGGAGGTAGAGCCTTTGAAAGGTAACTAGGTCATCAGCGTGGAGCGCTCACAAATGGAATTAGTGCCTTTATATGAAAGATCCCAGAGTGCTCTAAGTCCTACTTCTGTCTTACCAGGATACAAGGAGAAGTGTGCCTCACCGGAACCCAGCTGTCCTGGCATCCTCACTGTAGACTTCAGCGTCCAGAACTGTGAGATTAAACTTCATCAGCCATAACCCACCCACTCTATGGTACAAGCTGACCATTCTTAACTCAAAAATCTGAAACCTGACATGTACTCATATGATACTTGAAAAGCTTTCGATTCTGGATTTTCAGATTAGAGATGCTGAACTGGTAAAGTCTATGCAAATATTCCAAAATCCAAAACACTGAAATCTGAACATTAACCATTCCAGAAAAGAGATTCTGACTTAGCCTACGTTGTCCTGTAAGACACACAGAGAGGCAAGTTACATAACCAGTCACTCCCATGTGGTAGCCGTGTGCTTATGGGCAAGTCACTCCGCTAACCCTTAGAAAACCTCTGTACACAACAGCAATTGCCCTTTCTTCATAAAATTGTTAGGATTAAATGACATAGAACATGTAGCACTTAGTACTGTGAGATATGCAAGGAAACATTCAAATGTTATTCAACATGATCACTGCTATTAAAGTAGAAACTGAGGCAGGGTTTTAAATTAAAAATAATCCTTATAAAACATAAGGATGTTTCAGAACTAACAGATTCTTTCTATATTTAAGGTGCTTTATAAAAGCTAAGGTGGCCAGGTGTGTTGAGGCACACCTATAAGGCAGACACAGGAGGATCGCTGCAAGTTCAAGGCCAGCCTAGACTACAAAGCACGATCCTGCCTCAAAAAACCAAAACCAGTACCAAAACCAAAACAAAAGGTAAGATGCACTTCCAAGCTCCTAACAAGCTCGAATCTGGCTCTTCAAACAGAGAGTTCATAAACATGCTGGGGAGGGCCGGGGATATAGCTCTGGGCCAGGGATAGAGCTCTGCGGCACAAATGCCTGCCTGGCAAGTGCAAGGTCCTGAGTTCGATTCCCGATACCAGGAAAAAAACAAATAAACAAATAAAAAATAAACATACTATGGCAGAATATTAGCTATAAATGACAAATGTTAGCAATGAGTTTTAAATGATACTAATCCCTCAATTTTTAAAAATAATTCAATTTTACAACAGAGAACTATGGATTTGCTGAAGCTACACAAGAGTCATGAATGTTCTAAAAGCAATTTTAGGAGATGGGAGACAGTCATACCTTGCATAGCCCAGGTTTGCTGGGGCAAATTTGATAGTTGTTTCAAAGAAATTATACTCCAAATAAATGTTGGGATCAATATCTAAATCAAACTCCAAGTTACAGCCTCCAGGGATAGGATCTGGATGAAAAATAAGGAAGTTACTAAAGAAAGAATTCTTATATGTCCAAATCAAGCACAGAAGAAAAAAAAAAAACAGAACTTTAACAAGAAGTCCCCATAAAGAAGTTAAACATTAAACACAGAGCTTCTGCTCTGATACTATCTCATGAACTAAGGTTAAAGAGATAAAGCAGGGCATGGTGGTAAACGTCTGTAATCCCAGCACTCCAGAGGCTGAGGCAGGAGGATCCCTGTGAGTTTGAGACCAGCCTGGGCTACAGCGTGAGCTCAAGGCCAGCCTGAACTGCATAGTGAGACCCAGTCTCAAAAAGACAGGAAAAAAAAAATTTTAAAAATGAGAGAGATAAAGTTAGCTGAGAGTAAGCAAGGGACAGGAAGCCTTTTCTGTAAAGGGTCAGGCAGTGAGTATTTTAGGCTTTGCAAATCTGCGGGTCTCTCTGACAACCATCCAACCCTCCCCTTGTGGTGAAAGGCCACCATAGACAATATAGAAATGAATGGACATAGCTGTGTTTCAATAAAACTTTATGCACAAAGACAGGCAGCAAGGTGGATTTGGCTGGTGATCTCATTTGCCAATCTCTGCCCCACAGTTAAAAGCACTACAAGAGACAGAGATTCTTAAATCCGTATTCAAAAGTGGGTTTCGGGGGCTAGAGGAATACCCTGAAATTGTGTGCCAAATGTTGTCCACTTTTCACAGGTCTCTTTCAACAGAGAGACGGGGATCTCCTCAGCACTGGAACAGGGTGGGTATGCATAAAGGAGGAAATATAAAAGACTCAAGACGATTTTGGGAACAGCATTTGAATTTTAGTTTATATTAACACTATGGCTAAAAAAGCTCTTCTTGTTTTTCTTACTAGGAATCCTATTCATGACCTTAAAGGGTGGCAGAACTTAAAGAAGTCAAGTGACATTAGCTCAGCTCCACACAAAGCACCACACATAGTGTACTCAAGAGTAGAAGTTCACGGGGCTGGGGATTTAGCTCAGCGGCACAGCACCTGCCTGGCAAGCGCAAGGTCGTGAGTTCGGTTCCCGGTACCAAAAAAAAAAACCAAAAAAAAAAATTTAAAAAATAGTAGAAGTTGACAAAAGACCGAGGAATAAACCAATTTAATGATTTAGAAGACCACAACTTCACGCACTCAGCCATCCCGCCATTCCCACACTTGGGTCTCAGATTCCAGTCTTGGAATTCTGCTGGAGGGTTCTCCAGTGGAAATGCAACATGCACATATGTTTCAGTGGCATGTACAGTCTTCCTCAACACTTTGAGGTCTTTTATATTCTCCTTTTCCTGCACTTACAAACATCTGCCACGCTGCATTCCAGTGGGAGCTCCACAGTTTTATCATTTCTCTTCCTGCGCTGTCCTTGCTGGAAGCCTAAAGTCTGTGGCTTTTTATCAGGTAATTAACCACTAGTTACAGATAACATGTTTTCCCCACTCATTGTTCAATTTCCACTTATTGTACTACTTACTGCTCCCTTTCCTTCCTTCATTCCCGAACTTTAACAGTGGTGTGAATTCTCATCCCTCACCTCTACTGCTCAGTCATTGTCTCTGCTCTCTTCGATACTCTGTCACTAAAATGAGTCCCATCAAAGGCAGCCACTGACTCCTCCCTGCTCTACCATACGGACACTTCCGGTCACTTTTCTCTGCAGTGTACTATTCCCCACTCCTTCTGAAGGCAGGACCTCGGGGCTCTCCTATTCCAGGACTACTCCTCAGCCCTGCACTTCTCCCTCAGCAGTAAGTATCCACCAGAAACTTGCCTGACACACAGCAGGCACTAGGAAAGTACCTGCTATTCTTTTCCCTCCTAAATCCCTAAGCACTTGCCTGAGCAATCTCACTTACCGCCATGGCTTTCACTAAGAGCTATTTATTTGACTGTCTAATATCACTCCTCCCCTCCAGGCCTGTACTGGCCACTACGCAGTTTCATCCAGATGTCCCACAAGCCTCTTAGATTCATCATGTCCCAAAGTGAAGTCACCATCTTCTTCCCGCCCCGAGCAACCTCCAGCACCACAACACTGCTGTTCCTATGCTTATTTTGCATCAGTCTCTCTGGGCTTCCAAACAGGAAGCCTGCGCCCCTTTCTTATAACCCAGACACGGGTCACTCTGTCCTCCAAACATCTCCCTCCCGGCCCTCTTCTCCATGCCCCAGCCTGGGACTGTTCAGATCCTCGTTTCTCACTTTGAGCCCTCGAAGCTGTGCAGAGTCCAGGCTGTGCTGTGCCTTCTCCAGCCGCACGCCCTCACTGCTTCTAGAGCTAGCTTTCTAAGAGATGAAATGCACCGCATTACGCCTCAACCTAAAATCCCCTCCGAGTGATTCCTTAGAACAGGCCTCAGGACAGAGCGCACACCGCAAACTGCGCACAAGGCCCTCACATCCGGGCTCCAGCCAGACACATGTTCACCGTTCCCCAGACACTGCTCCCCTCTTCCGCACACTATGCTTACTGCGTCCTCTGCCTAGGGTAATTACTAAAATGTTACGGACTCTGTCACGGCTTTTCCTTAAATGTATTTGAGTGAATAAACCTGAGCTCCAACGACGATGCCTATTTTCGGACTCCCTGGCTATAAAAACATTTCTGACTGAATATATTACACTTGTAACAAACAACCTGAATAGGATGACTTCTCTCCCATTTCCACAAACATATCCCACGGTCCACAGAGCGTTAACAGGGAGGCAAAGACAGAAAGGTTACCTCTTTCCGAGTAGGAGAGCGGAATGGCCACGCTTTGGACGGGCTTTGCATCGACAGACTCCAGGTACCAAGTGCACACGCTCTGCTCTGGTCTCAGAATGGAAACCAGTCCTTTGTCACTGCCCGTTCCTGAAGTACCGGGACGGACAGTCTGCAATTACCAACGAAAGCCATCAGGAACAGGGAACGGAGCCGAACACGGGCGTCACAGAGGTAATCAGGAACTCATGTCCTGTTCCAAATTATCTCAAAACAAAAAGGGAGAGGAGACCAGAACTTCCTTCCATAATTAAAGAACTCTTTCATCCCCAGGTTCACACGGCTACACCTACACACGGGAGACCTCTTTAAAGTGTGTTACTGTCTTAGTCAGTTTGGGTTGCTATGACAAAGTAGTGTAAATTAGGTGATGGATGAGCAATAAAAATTTATTTCTTACATTTCTGGAGGCTGTAAGTCTGAGCTCAGCCCAGCATGGTCAGGTTCAGGGGAGGGTCATCTTCCAGGCTGCACACGGCCAACTTCTAGCTATATATATTCTCATGTGGCAGAGGGGACAGGGAGCTGGGGGGGGACACTAATTTTATAAAGGCAGAGTTCTCGTGACCTAACACCTCCTACAGACCCACTTCCTAACACCAAGACATTGCGTGAGGGGCGGGGCTGGGGCAGGGCACATACAGTGCACAGCAATGATCTTTGGTCAGGAATTGCATAGGAGAATCTCTCCAGCATTTCAATTCACCTGCATTAAGATTTACTATGGCGTGTACTGGAGCTAAGACAAAGCCGTGAACCCAGGGCTCAAAGGCTTCACACACTGGGTAGAAAGCTTTACTGAGTCATTATAACAGACATTATTTGATAGGTTTTGATACATGTAGACACCTATGAAACCATCCGCAATTCAAGACAGTGAATATATGCATCATCCCAAGAAGTTTCTTGCGCCCCTTCCTAATCCTTCATCGTGCTCCTCCCTTCTAGAAGCCCCCATGCCCAGCGGTGCTGAAAGCTTCCTCAGTAATAAAGTGCTAAGCTAAGCGGTCATAGACTCAGTGTTCTTGTAAAGCTAAGAAAGTGCAAAGAGGAAGCGACTGATCAGTTTCAATCTGACAAGCATTAAGTGAGAACGGATCACCTACAGGGTTAACAGCTTCAGAGAACAAACTATCATGATGACTCAAAAGGAAAGGAAGAAAAAAACAGTGCCACACTACATCAGGAAGGACACAGGAAACAGAAACAACTGTCTTCACGAAGACAGCTCACTTGCAGAGCCACGTGCAGGCTGGTCATCATCTACGCAGGGCAAATAGCGGGAACCAAAGACGGCCCAAGGAATGAAATCTGGGAGAGATAGGAAGCCAAGACCCCTGCTGCGTGGAGATCAAGGCCCGAGATGTTATTCACCCACGCCTCTTCTGTCACTTACGCATCATGCTCACATCTCCTTATGGGTTTTCTGACATAGAGACAGGCACTGTGAAAGATTTATATGATCTAAAGAGAAATCAGGGATTGTAGCTCAGCGGCACAAGCGCCTGCCTGGCAAGCACAAGGTCCTGAGTTTGATTCTCAGTACCAAAAAAAAAAAAAAAAAAAGAAAGAAATAGGCACTTTATTGAGCTATTGTGAGAATTAACTATATGGAAAGCTGAATACAAAGATTCTGAACAAGGACTGAAGGGTCCCACTGAGTTACCAGACATCCCCTGAGATTATACATACACAGGTCACTGTGAAATTACAGCTTTTCCTGGGAAAGAATCTCTTGATTTGGGCAGGCTCTGGCCTCAGGAGCTTTAGAAGCAGGAGCTTAGCACACAGCAAGCATTGAATTATGTAAATGCCTTTGTCCACATCCTCTCTCTTATCTTCATGGATGTCAGTGAAATCTTATTTGTGACAACACGGATGAGACTGGGGACACTATATTCAGTGAAATAAGTCAGGCACAGAAGCAAGTACCACATAATTTCACCCCTATGCAGAATCTACAAAAAAATGCTAATACAAAAGTTGGGGGAACCAGGCATGGTGGCACACACCTGTAATCTCAGCACTCAGGAGGCTGAGGCAGGAGGATCATTGTGAGTTCAAACCCAGCCTGGGCTACAAAGGGAGCTCAAGGCCAGCCTGAATTGCAGAGTGAGACCCTGTCTCAGACACACACACACACACACACACACACACACACACACCCAAAAAAGTTGGGAGCTGCTAGGTGGGTACCAGAGGTCAAGGAGAGTAGGGGGAAGGGTGGGGAGAGGCTGACCCATCGGGGCTGGGTTATAGTGAGGTGGCAGCAAGAAGTTCTGGTGCTGTCGCATAGTAGGTGACCATAGATAACATCATGTACTGCTTTCAAAAAGCTAGGAGTGTCAATGTTTTCACCATGAAGAAAAGATAAATCTTCGAGGAGGCAGACATACTCAGCCAGATTTCAACATTGCACAATTAATACCTCTGTTGAACCCCCACACAGGTACACCATGCATATGTATAATTCTGTTTTTATGAATTGGTTAAAATAAATTTAAACTTATCATTAAAAATACATATTGTCTTTGCTGTGATGTCATAAGAAGGAAATCATTATTTGCTAATCAAAACACTTTTAATTATATAGGAAGATCACCTCAAAACAATTTTTTTAAATACAACTAGCAAAACAAAGGGGGATGGGCTCAGGGCCAGACGCCTGTAATCCCAGCTACTTGGGAGGCTGAGGCAGGAGGATCACAAGCAAGCTCAAGGCCAGCCAGGACAACCTAGTGAGATCCCACCTCAAAATAAAACATAAAAAGGGGTGGGGATGTAGCTCAATGGTAGAATACCTCTGGGTTGGATCCCTAATACTAAAACAAAATAATAAAAGACATCATTTTTGTCTCATTTTACTATGTCTCCTATAAAAGAACCTGAACAGGAGGTTTATTTTTTGAATTTCATACCAGAACAAAAACTTAGCCTCTCTTGATGAACAGGGATACTTCTTCCTGTCCAAGAAAGTTAGGAAATTTACTATGCTTTATTCTGCTGTGGCTACCAAGAACTCTGGCAAAATCAAAGGGTTACAGATACTGTTCTCTCTTACATCTGGCATCATTTACTCTTCTTTCTTTGTTCTCGGTCAAACCCTTCCATTTCTAGTTTATCAACTACCTTACACGCGCATGCGCGCGCACACACACACACACACACACATACACACACACACACACACCTTTCCCTTCTTTAAGTCTTTTTAAAATTTCTTTTGTTTATATACACAATTTTAAAACCTTCACGGTAAGGTTAAGAAAGCAGGAATGAAAAAATCCAAAATATTTAGCAGGAAAGAAAGTTGGACGAGTGCCTGTAGACCTACACATGAGTTGCACTGAGATAGCTTTGTTTACCAATATCAGACTATTATAGGATGGGCTTAGATCAAATAAAAAAGTATAATTTCATGGTCAGTGAAACCCATTCATTAGTGTAAAGAATCATATAGGCTAAATATAAAGAGATTTGTAAAAGTCTAACAGTCTAGTAGACTTTTACAAATACATGGCAGATCCTTTATAGCTAAAGTAATCCAAAGCATTTAAAAAACTTTCCAGAGGCCAGAGATATAGTTCAGCAGCACAATGCCTGCCTGGCAAGCCTGAGGTACTGAGTTTGATTCCAGGTATCAACAAAACTAAACAAATAAACAAAAAACTTTCCAATCTGAGGCTCCCTTTAAAGAGTTAGTGACGACAACTATCTAATAGCATCCTTAACCATGCTAGATAGGACTGGGATGAATTGAGTGTTATAAACGCTTTATTTGCATGTGCTCCAAAGAATAAGGCTGATCCCAAGGGTTTCTTAATAAACTATAGTACTAAATAGCTGGACAACAATAGGAACACATTACAATGTATTCTCAGGTAAAAATCATTAAGGACCCACTGGAGTAAGAAAATGAAAAAGTGAGAAGTCATGAGGAAAACAAGGCAGGGAGTTACACAGGGCCCCTCTCCCAAGACTTGGCTTTCCATCTCTGAGGCACAGGCCGCCACACTCGAAAAAGGCCTGAGGTCCGCACCTTGCCCACTCTCAGTCACTAACCTGACAAGATTCAACGTTGACTTTTTCTAAACACTTAAGACACAAAATTAAACATCAAATTCTAGTGCTTACACTAAACACAAGACCCAAACAGATGAAATGATTCTTTTTTGCTGAAATAATTCTTTGTACTTACCCTCGAGTAAGAAACTGTGGTATTCTGATACTGCGAGTGTATCTGGAATATGAGAAAAGTCACATTGCTTGAAATATGATGCAAAATGGCTTCCTGCGGAAAAGGTTTGTTGAGCTGGAAGTATCTAAATTTCCCAACAGAAAATTCAAGAAAACCTACAATGGGAGAAAGTTTTCATTATAAGACTGTATCTCTAACATCAATTTGTAAAAATCCTATTTATAAACAGAATGCTGCTTTCCCCCTCAGAAAAACTCCTTGAGGAAAATACCATGATTGCCTCTATGTCACTGATGAAGACATGGCGGCCTACAGGCAGAACAGAGGCTGGGGACGTTGCTGAGTGACAGAGTGAGCTGGACGCCCTGGGTTCAAGCAGCATTACAGGGGAGGGAGGTCTCAGGGTCACTCAGCTAGAAAATGGTAGTACTGAGGGTTAAAGTGGAAAAAAATGCGTTTCAAAAGATGTGAACACTACTAAGTGCTGAGGATGGGCTCTCAGACCCCAGAAAAGTTTCCCCGTTTGGTAAGGGAATAACAATTCTCTCCAGAACACAGTGCCTGGGTTTAGGATAAAGAACCCTCTGGCTGGTGCCATGGTGAATGTGCTAGAAATAAAGAATGGTATCATCTAGTGAATGCTGAAGTCTGAAGAGACACAGGTAACTTCATTTTAGAGCCAAAGTTTACAGTTTTAGGCAATTTACCAAATTGCCTGAGGCCTCCGTTTTTCTTATCTTTCAAATGAGGATTGTATTACCTAACTTGCAAAAGCAGGTACCATCAACATTGGCAAATACGTTTGATGCGTGCCCACACCACACACTTCACACACAGTTGTGAACCACAGGCTTTTTGGGAAAAGGGGCTTTTTTTAGCCAGGCATAGCGGTACACACCTATAATCCCAGCACTCTGGGAAGCTGAGGCAGGAGGATCACAAGTTCGAGCCCAGCCTGGCACTGTTGCCAGACCTTGTCTCAAAATTTTAAAATGGGATGGGGATGTAGCTCAGTACAAAGGCCCTGGGTTCAATCCCTTACGCTACCCTAGCTCACTCTGTCCCTGGTTTTGTGTGTTGTGTTCTTTTCCTAGCTGTATACTGGTTTTTTCTTTTTCCAATCTAATTCTCAGATACCCCACCAAAGGAAGCTGCTTTTACTTCTGTGTGGTCCTGGATTCACACCTCCCCTCCAACCCTCTACTCAGAATATCTCTGTAAAAATGGCAGAAGAGCATTACACAGAAAATAGAAAAAAAAAAACAACAACAACAAAAAAAAAAAAAACAGAAAAAAGCTACTTACATTTAATATAAATGAAAAGGAGTTGACAAGAAAAAGATTATAATTCATCAGAGTCTCATAATAGAACTATCATGCCTTATTTTAGAAAGAAATAAATCAGTGGGTGGTTATAAAAACAAAATAAAATGAAAACAACACTCCCAACACTAAATAACACATTCTTATTTACCACTATCCAAGAAGGCCACTTTTCAATGTGTTTTTTCCTAAATTCAAATATTCCATCTGAACAATTAAAAACAAAACAAAAAACTACCAAAAAAAGTCTACCTGTATAAGGAACCCCCAAAAATACATACAAATTGTGCTAAGACTAGAAAACTGACTAGTCGCTATAGAGTCCTCCAAACTCTACAATGATATAGTACTCTAAGCTTTTGAAAAATTGATGAAAGAAGAAAAGATTATCTGTGATTACAATTTAATTGTCAAAAGTTAATAGAAAATTCTGAAATAGTGTAGCAACGACAGCTGGAGATGCCACGTATTTATATAACCACAAAGGCATCTCACATTTTATATGGACAAGCTCCAACTGGAATAGAGATAAAGCATTTCTATAAAACACAGAGATCCCAGTAGGGAAGGCTGGAAAATATAGGGGGCCTCTGTGGGGTTTTTTTAAGGCAAACAACAGCCACAAAAAAACCTACATTTTTACATTTTCCAGGCAGTCCCATCATTACGATTATTTCATTAGAAAACCAAACTATATAAAAAACTAAATGAATCGCAGTAAGTGGCACTAAAAATGCTTCTAATATTGCACTTTAATTTTGGTTTCTTCTATTTTCTGTCTTCCAAGTGTTAAAAATATTCTTTCCGGTTTGTCAGACGAAGCAGCATTCATCCATTTTCCTAGCATCTAAATGGACCCCGATCCTCGTACAATCCAAAGCCTCTGGCTCATTTAGTGTCCTGCTTTTTCTAGATTCACTTTTTTCCCCTCATTTTTCCCCATCAGGCAAGTATTTGTGAAGCATTTATAAAATAATCACTGGCTGTTGGGCACTGCGACCAAAACTAGGACTAGCAAACTCAAAAAGGGGATCTGAGACTGTCGTCATTAGCATTTAGATTTGCCCTTCGACGTAATTTTAGAAAATGTTTTGATAATCCTTAGGTCTGTCTCCCAAGACACGGACTTGGAACCTGAACAGTACACAGAGCTCTGTGATGCCCTGGCACACACGCTGCCATCGCTAGAGAAGCTCCAGTGGCAAACCTTCCTCAGCCTTTCTCTAACCCACCACCCCTGGGCGAGGCTGAATCAGCACTCACAAATACCAAAACCTTAGGACAGCGAGAAAACACAAAACCACGGAAAGTAAAATAGGTCATTAAACAACTAGTGGCTGGATGACTTATTAAAGTGGCTGGTATTAAAAGCAGGTATCTCTGCAAGTATAGGATGTGTATTTTCTTTTCTCTACCTCTTTACTTCTGTTTTAAATTTCTCTAGAGATCATGATGCGTTATAAGAAAGAAATGTCAGCCGGGCGTGGTAGCGCCCACCAGTTATCCCAGCACTCGGGAGGCTGAGGCAGGAGGATCGTAGCCTGGGCTACAAAGTGAGCTCAGGACCATCTTGAACTGCATAGTGAGACCCTGTCTCAGAAAGACCAAAAAAAAAAGAAAGAAAGAAAGAAAAGAAATGTCATGATTTGAAAAAAGCCTCCATTCCTGATGGCACTCTAAGTATGAACTCTTCTTTGACTCTACATTTTATATTCTTTAAAAAAGGGTTCCCTAGAACAGACAGACAGACAGACAGACAGACACAGACACAGACAGAGAGAGACAGACAATAAGCAAAATGGGGACATGGAGACAGCACCTGTCATTTGTTTTCCCTCTAAAATAATAATATTGTTCTAAACAGTCTATAATCCTCCTAATAAAAAGTTACAACATGCAGAGAAGGGCCAGGGATATAGCTCAGCGGCATAAGCGCTTGCCTGGCAAGCCTGAGGTCATGAGTTCAATTCCCAGTACCAAAAAAAGAAAAAACAAAAAAAACATGCAGAGAAAATATATTCCAACAGCAAGTATTATGTGCAGAAATTCTCACTGTGGACAGCTTGGTACACAGTCGGCCCTCAGTATCCATGGAAGAGTCTGGGACCCTGAAAAATTCAAAGTCCGCCATTCTCCAGGCCCCACTATCAAACAGGGCCGTATTCTATGTGACATATACATATCCTCCCATACACTTTAAAACATACTGTGAACCACGTCCATGCCTAATACAATAGAAATGCTATGCAAATAGTTGTTATACTGTATTGCTCAGGAGTAAAGATGAGAAAAAAAAAGTCTGTACATATTCAGCACACAGTTTTTTCTAATTATTTTTTATTTGGTTGAATCTGTCGATACAGAACCCATGGGTATGAGGGCCAACTCTGTCTTTTCGGATTTGGGCAGATATCAACATGCTTATTTTCATTTATGTGGAAGAAGAAAGACATAAATGTTTGGCTTAGCCCATGTCACAGGTCTTGGATACCTTTCCATAACAATACTGATAAATCAGGGGCTGAAGGTTTAGCTCAGTGGTAGAACCCTTGCCTAGCCTGTGTGAGGTCCTGGGTATCCCTAGCACTTCAAGGAAAAAAAAAAAAACTCTAACTTCGTCATTTAAAAGCTATGTCATGTTCTATTCAGCTGCACAATTATTCAACCAACCCTCCAGTCATGAAAATAAAGGCTGTTATTGTACTCTGAATAAGAAATTAATAAGAAGCTAGTTCTGATAGAAAGCATGTATGTCAGGCACCAATGTGAGCTTTTTGCTGTGGCAGCATAAGACATGGGCTTTGATATTCAATCGCTAAACTGTATAAGAAGACTTGTTCCAGTCTAAGAAATTCAGAAATGAAAATGAACAGCTCAGGTGAAAACACTTAATGATCAAACTCAAAACATTTACGCTGCAGTTTCTGCTTCTGACATTTTCTTCAAGAAGTATAATGAGCATTTCAGGAATGGTTAGGACTTTGATGTATTACTTCCTGGACTTCTGGAAAGCTCCAGGAAGATGAGGTCTCTCTAACCCTTGCCCCTCATATGCCTGTAGCAGGAAGCATGCAGAAGCCAGATAATAAAAGGGAGAGACATGGATGCCTATTTAAAGCGTGGTCACATGACAAGATAAGTCAGAGGTGTTAAGAGCAGATATCTCCAAGGGTGTATTCTAAATTATTTTTTTCTTTACATTAGGTTTTTCCTTATTTTTCAAATTTTCCTTAATGATAAAAGATGTTCTTATCAATAAATTGCAATATATCCTGACAATATATTATAGCCATTTGGAGATGATTTTTCTTTTTTTTTTTGTACTGGGAATCGGAACTCAGGACCTTAGGCTTGCTAGGCAGGCACTTGTGCCGCTGAACTATATATCCCCAGCCTGGAGATGATTTTTTTAAAAATACTGCTGCCAGAAACCCTCTCCAGAGCAGTTATATCAAAATCCTGAGGGTGTGATCCAGGTATCCATTTAAAAATAAGCATTCATTAAAATAGTATTCAGAGAAGTACACCAAGTAAGTTCAAAGGAAAACGCTCCTAAAATAATTATCTGAGTCAAGAAACACCATTTAAGGACACCTCTTCGCTCTTCTAACCACCATCCCTCCCTCCCTAAAAGGAACCATGATCCCAGCTACAAACACAGAAATTTTGCTTTCAGAGTTTTAATAAGTGCGGTTTGCAGGCTGAGTTCTATCGTGTCCAGCTTTTTAAAAATCAACATTTTATTTGTAAAATCATTCTCGTCTTAAGGAAACCATACTACTTAATAAACTAATGTACCACAGCACATTTCTCTGTTCTATTGTGCGTGAAC